ACATGTTTAAAACATGTTCAAAACATCAATTATGCATGTTTCAAACAACTTAAAACATGTTAAAAAAACATGCTTCTACCAACCCTGATGTATGCTAGTTACCGAATTCGCTACAAGTCACAGTATCGCTCGAGAGAAAAAAGTTTATCTCGCGATTTCTCGTGTCGTGGCGGAAGAAAGGGAAAGGGAAGAGAAACCGAAAAGAAGCAAAGACAGGAGGGGGGGCGGAGGAGAAGGAGGTGCAGAAAAGAAAGAGAAGAAAAAGACGGAAGTAGAGGGGGGGTGGGTACGGAGAGGGAGGAGGGGGGGTGCAGCGTGGACGTAAATAAAGGCGGCCGAATCTCGTTTCGACGAACCGCTATTTTGCTCGCGAAGGAGGGGAGGGGGGGGCGGGTATGCTGCAACCAGCGGCATTCATAAAGAAGCTACTTGAAGGCTGTCTGTTCTAAATTCGAGACGATGACGGACGGACGGACGGACGGGAGAGACGACTTCGCGCGCGCGACTCGACTTCGGAATTTCGCTCCGAAACGTCTGTTGCGCCACTGCAACATCGCTACGCAAAAGCCGGCACTAAATCAGGAACGCGGAGCCGTCGTTGTCTTCTCCGCGAGCGTGATCCACGTGATTGCGATCAAGTGCACTTGGGCGGGAATCGGAGTCGCACGCGCGAACAAGTTGCACGTTAAGCGAATTGCATTACAAATTTACTTTTTTTTTTCCTCTCTCTCTCTCTCTCTCTCTCTCTCTCTCTCTCTCTCTCTTTTTCTTTATAATATTACAAGTCTCGCGTTTTCTGTTCTGCTTCTGGAGTTCTCGAGGAAAAGGGAAAACGTTTCAGCTTTTTAATTCTCTGTGGGCCCGAGTCGATGAAAACAAAGGGAGTCCCGCGCGAATTCGGAAGTGGCCGGAGAATCCACGCGGCATCAATGCGCGGGCGCGCGCGAGCGATGCAACAGACGACAGAGGATTCGAGACACGAGGAGGAGGAGAAGAAGAGAGAGACGGAAAGAATGAGAGAGAGAGAGAGAGAGAGAGAGAAACGTGAGAGCGAAGCTTGGAAAGAGAAAGAAGACGGTGAGAGCGAAGCCTGGAAAGAGAAAGGAGAAGGGAGGAGGGCGGCGGGGAAGGGGTTGGCAAGCGGCACATTAGCGACAACAAAGAGACTCGAAGAGCGAGAGTCATTGAGGTTACCTGCGACATCCGTGACGGCTACGTCGACGATCAGGTTGACTCTCTGTCGCGACTGTTGTTGTTGTTGTTGATGTACTTGTTGATGCAGGTTGCCTTGCTGTTGAGATCCCAAGGGCAGACTACCGGCGCTCGTAGCGGTACTCTCCGTCAGGATCACCGTTGGCACCGCGGCGGCGGCGGCGGTCGCGACGGTGGCGGCAGCGGAGGAGGAGGACGAAGACGACGTGGATGATTCCGCGAGGGAACCCGCCGTCGTCACGATGCCGGCATTGTTGTCGTAGACCGTCGTGGGCGTCTCACCCTCGCCCTCCCCTGTCCTCGCAGCCATTCCGGGCCTCGCGTGTCCCGGCGGGTAGACGGACAGACAGACAAACGGACAGACAGGATTCCCTCCACTTCTCCCTGCACGTTGTTCCCGTGAGCGCACGCACTTCTCCTCGGAAGAACACCTACACTCTTTTACGTACTCCCTTTTGCGCGCTCTCTCTCTCTCACTCTCTCTCTCTCTGTCTCGTTCTTTCTTCCTTTCTTTCTTTCTCTTTCTCTCCTCAAGGTAACGTGCGCTCTCCGTTCCCACTTTTTCCACGTTCACTCTCTCTTTCTATCTTTCTCTCTTTCCCGCCCTCCTTCCCGCCAACGTCTCGTATACTCGCTTTCGCTCTCGTGCGCTCTCCTACCATACTCTCTCACTCTCTCTCTCTCTCTCTCTCTGACACCCTTCTCCGTCACTCTCGCGCACGCTCACGAGTTGTCTCCCCTCTCACTCCCTCTGTCTCCTTTCACGACACACGCTGGTCAGCGCGCCGTGTCCGAGACGTACCGAAACTGCACCGCCGGCCACGGTTAACTCGCTCGCTCGCTCTCTTTCTCTATCTTTGTCTACGTGTCTCTCTCTCTTTCTCTCGTCCGTCTCGTCAGTCGAACGTCGGTATATCACGGGACGGCGGCATCGCAGGTACACGCACACGCCACGTTTTACCGAAGAAAAGAGCGGAGGTGACGCGCGCGGTATTCGTTAACCTCCCGTTCCCGGTCGGCCCGCGAAAAAATGGAACGTTAGACAAATGTAGGTCTGTAGGCCACTTCACTTACACTTTGCATCGGCACGGGCACTCCCTAAGTCAAGCGAGCGTCCGGCGCACTGTCGCGCACTGACAGCACGAGAGCAGCCAGGACCGTAGCGGCCGCGCGCCGCCCGCCATACATTCGCATTTTTTTTTCTCTCTCATCCGCCGATCTTTCCGCGCTCTCCTATTTCCTCCTTCCTATTCGCGATAAACGGGAAGACGCGCGCGAACGGATCGACGTCGCGGCTCGAAGTCTCGACTCTCTCGCGACGACACGGGGAAACGAGTTCCCGCGCTACATCCCGCGGCCTCGAATTCACGCGGAAATCGCTCCGGAGATGATCGCTCGCGATAAAGCCCGTGGGGTCTACGGGGTTATGTGCGCGTGACGATCTTCGCGTGTCGCCCCGATTCGTATCGCCGTCGTCGTCCAGTTCGCGTCTTCCTCGCGCTCCCCACACCCCGGTGGCGCCGAGCTTGGCTTGTACGGCAGTGGGCGAACGAAAGGGAAAACCGCGTAATCGCGAGAGCGCACACACGCCGGCGTTCGCTTTCTCGCTCGCTACCAAGACGGAGCGCCGTCGCTTCCGAGATACAGAGAGATTAGAGACGGAGGTAGATAAACAGAGAGAGAGAGAGAGAGAATTCGAATCCGTTACATGCCGCTGCCTCGGTCGGTGCAGAGACCCGGTACCTTCGTGCCGATTACGGCACTGCGCCTCATCGGCGAGCTCCGTCGCGGGCGGAAAGACGCAATTTCCAAAAGATGTATCCGTCCCCGCTTCCTTCGCCGCCGCCGCCGCCGACGACGACGACGACGAGCCGCAACCGCGACCGCGTCGTTCCGCGGATCTGGTACCGCGGGACAACTCGTGCGCCCGGCTCTCGTTCCTTTCGGCCGTTCTAACGAACCACCGGGGAATTTTGTCACGAACCTCTCCTTTCGCGTGGTCGGCGACACGATTCGCCGCCGCGTCGCGAGGTACGACGATGATAGGCCGAGCTCTAAGTAGGTCAGCTGCCGCGGTGTCCGATCGCCCGGCGCGGGCCGCCCTTACGCGGCGTACGTTGCATAACTCGTCACGCGCGACTTCACCGAGAGTAAAACCGCGTGAAAAAGGCTACGGTCCGACGGACATAATGCGGCCGTAATACGTTTTCAATGAACAATGCACTTGACTAACGCACTCCTTCTCGCGACGCGATCAGCGCCGTCTGTCGCGGAACCGCGCCCGTTTCAAAACGCCGATTGCGCTCGCGATTAAACACGTAGAACGTGGACCGTGTCATCCGCGTATCTATAGTATATCTAATGCGATCGACGAGAATAAGGGAGAATAAGGGACAATCTTCCTCCTTTTCTCTCAACTTTTCCATATCAATTGTACCGTTGAATAGAAAGAGACCGGCCGTCTCTTCCCGCCATATCTCTTTCGTTTTTGTCGACCAATTGTATAACGACGTGGATTGCGCAGTCCATGCTTTATGCTCACATAAAAACGTGTGAATGTGTTGAGCCTTCGATTTATTTCGATTCGAAGGGCTCGAACGAATTTCTTTACGTCATCGTATCGTTAGAAAGTACGAACGTCTTGAACGCGTTAAAAACTCGTATTATCGAGCTCGAAAATGAAAGGAAAAGCTTTTCATAAATTGTGGTCTCTTTAAGGCTTTATATCTTTTCAATAATTTAATATCTGAAAATTAATAAGGATTAATTAATCCTTTTGCGAATTCCAGAAAATATAAGTACGTACATAAAAAATTAAACAACGTACGTCACATATGTCAAAAAATAAAATTGTAATTTTCTAACGTCTCGTGTATTATAAATCTGCTTTTCTTAATTCTTTGTTAATTTTTGCACTCACTTATTTTTTATTGACTTTGTTGTACTTTTCCGAATTAAATTGAGAGAATTTTTTATTTCATCTTACAAAAAATTGCATTTCCTGTATAGATACATATAAACAAAATTAAGTATAAAATTAACTGATATAAATTGTAAAATCGATAAATAATCACCGCACAATTCGTATAAGCTGAAAATTATAAATTTCACGAAAAAATATTATTAACCATCTGCTGTAACCTAAGGCATTCTCTTATTCATTTATTTGTAATTGATATATGAAGTATATGTATATATAAATATATACATAGATGTAAATGTACATATATATATCGCTAAGTATAAAAATTTCATCGTTTATATTATATATAGTAATGTATTCAATATATATACAACATATTCAATGTATATATAATCGAATATTATATCGAACAATTTAATATATAATATAAAAATATATATTCGATATATATAATATAATATATATATAAATTTATTATTATTATAATCAAAAGATATGTGTTTAAAAAGTAATTTGTTACCGTTTCATTTGCACCCATCAGAAAAAGTAACTCGTTAACGTTATCATTACTCTATAAGTATCAAATCGTTACAATTTCGTTCACCGAATTGATCTTTTTTCAAAGTGACATTTATTACAATTATCTATATCGCTAATTGATCGACTTAGCTTAAGATCTACAATATATAGTATGATTAATTTTAAAATGGTCAAACACATAACACTCTTGTTTAAAAACTCACTTATACACGTTTCGTACATGTGTAGTGTACAAAATAATAATAAAACGTTTACATTCATTGCACTTACTTAAAAATGTAACTACATATGTTATCATCATTGCTAATAATAAAATAATAGCGTCTCAGAGTTTTTGAACATGGCCGGAGACGCTACCGCGTCTCCTGATACAATGTCGTTATCTCAAGTCATTATTTGAAAAATAATTGTAATGATAACGTGTTACTTCTCAATCTTATACCTTATAAAATACTACATATAAATATAAAAATAAATTTTATGATACAATTTAATTCGACGTACAGTTATTTAGTTATTCTTTTGTTTAGCTTCGTCAATGAGAGCACGCGATATAATCAGTCTTTGAATCTGCGCAGTACCTTCATATATCTGATAAATTTTGGCATCGCGCATAAGTTTTTCCACTGGATACTCAGAATTGAAACCTGCACCACCGAAAACCTAAAAAAAATTGTCATCGACGATAAATTATAAGAACATCAACTTAATCCTCTTACCAACTGTATAGTTTGATACAAAATATTTATATTAATATAAGTTATTGTATTGTAGTTTACCTGTACAGCGTCTGTAGCACATTTATTAGCTATATCTCCGCCATAACATTTTGCAATACTAGCGAGCATTGTAGCACTCGGTAAGTTTCTATCAGTAGCCCAGGCTGCCTTCATCCATGCCATTCTAGAAGTCTCAACACCAATAGCCATATCAGCTAGCATGAAACCTATTGCTTGATGCTCCGCTATCGGTTTACCAAATGTTTTGCGTTCCAGCGCATATTTTGTTGCTTCATCCAGAGCTCTTTGAGCTAAACCAGTAGATGCTGCTGCTACCTATAAAGTACTAAATGTAAAAATATGTTTGCACACATCTTATAATCTGAATTTATTCGGCACCTAACGGATAAATTTAATAGAATATTACCGGTGACCGAGTCCTAGTAAAAGTCTTCATAGCTATCTTAAACCCTTCTCCTTCTCCAAGCAATACATTTTCTTCGGGAACGCGAACATCTTCAAATGTTATCATTCGTGTGTCGCTTGCTCTTTGTCCCATATTAATTTCCTTAAAATATGAAAGAAAAGATATGCATCAATAAAAATTTAAGTTAACGAATAAATAGGATAATAATAAAAAATTATCATCAAGAATTTACCTTACGACCGGGAGTTAAACCATCACTTTCACGTTCGACAATAAAACCTGTAAAAGCTTTATTAGCTGGAGCTTTTGGATCTGGATTTGTTCTTGCTAAAACAAAATACCTGTATAATAAGAAGTTGTGTTAAAAGTGTAAATGATACCCTTTAGAATTTATTTAAGACTAAATAATGAAGCACGTCTCATACCAGTTGGCAACACCACCATTTGTGATCCACATCTTTGTGCCATTAATTATCCACTCTTTTCCTTTCTTCTCAGCTTTGGTCATAATACCTGCTACATTAGATCCTGCACCAGGTTCAGTAACGCAATACGCCTGTAAATAATATTACTTAATTTAGACAACATTAACTTTAATTTAATTTTTACAAGTTTAACTTCAGATTTACCGCAACATGTGGCTCTTCTATAAGTCTGCCAAGATATTTCTTTTGCTGTTCTTTCGTTCCAGCTATAATAACTGGAGTTTGCTAAATAAAAATACTTATATAAGTACATATGTATAATTACTACATTAAATAAATTAAAATATATAATTTTAAAAGAATTAGAAATTAATAAAATTTTAAAGAAAAATTAAACTATATTTTTAATTTACACTGAAAAAGTTAGAATATTATATAATATTGAAGCAAAATACTGTCGATAAACCTACTCCAAGACCTGTGGTTTCTATTGCAGTTGCTACTCCTGTACAACCATAAGCCAATTCTTCCGTAACCAAGCACGAATCAAAAATATTAGCTTCCATACCACCTAAAATAGATTATAATTATTATCAATCTTATTTTTTTTACATCTCTAATATTATTTTTTATTCTAGCAATATTATTATAATAGTTTATATGTAGGATATATGTGTCTATATGTATAATGTAATTCTGATAAATCAAACATACCACAATGTTGTGGAATATGTTTGTTCAAAAGACCAATACTCCACGCCTTTTTAATAATGTCCCATGGATATTTTCCAGTTCGATCATACTCTGCAGCTACTGGAATAATCTCTTCTTTTGTAAATTTCCGTGCTAACTCTTGCATTTCCTTTTGAGTATCTGATAATTCTAAAACAATTCAATGAAATAATAATAATAATCCTATTTTAAAATCAGATAATATATGTAATTTGCAAAGATCTGTAAAAAATTTCAGTTTCTCTCTTGATTTAATGGCAATTAAATGACAATCAAATAACAAAGTCTTGCATTTCTATTTCTTGATACATTTAATTCAATTTATCTTGTTTGAGACATATATTATTTATGATTGTAGTTATGTAAATAAGAATATTTCTGTGTATATGTATATTTGTTTAAATCTTTTTTGTTTTTTTAAGGTTCTATTCTTATACTCTGATTATTTATCTTTAAACACTCTATACTTCGTAAGATATAAATATATACCAACCAAAATTATATCCTTGAACAGATTCGGCAGTTGCTGAGAAAGATCGTACCACTTTCTGATACGATCTTGGATTAAATACCTGAAAAAATTATTGATTTCAAGATATACAAATAAATAATTAACTCAAATAATACAACAGTGCAGCTATCACTATATAATTACGAACGGAGCATACAAAAGTTAAAAAAAAACTATACATCAGTGATTTCAATAATCAAACAAAATTGCACAATTAGCATTTTTTTGTCACTTACCTTCCTGAGCATCATGACGTACAACGATACTTTTTTTTAGACAGAAATAAAAGACGATATTATCCGTAATTATTTTCCTTTGACGAAATCGATGACAGTGCGACAATTATAGTTTGGAAATAAAATCAAAGCAGAAAAGATAACGATCAAAGGTAATCAATTATTTGCCACTGTACAGGTTTAAAGTACAAAGTTCAACATAATAAAAGTAGGGATAAACGCATCGAATTCTAGTTAGATACATATATATATATATACATAAGCGGAAAATAAATCTTTCATTAATTCTTTCTCGAAGTAAAAAATGTTAATGTCGTATTTTATTTTGACGAGATTTTAAGCAACTAATTCAGTCTTTCCTGTCATGACGAAATATACGTAAACCGACGTAAATAAGGAGAAAAGTGGAATTATATAGGACGTGGAAGTGTGGAACTCCCGTACACTAGCGCACCAATGTATTTTTAGTTACATGGAACTAAGTAGATACATCTGTTTTCAGACACAGTCGATAAAATATATTATATAATATTAGCGTCTCTCACAAACTTTTATACTATAATAAACTTCTATTCTCTCTCTCTCTCTCTCTCTCTCTCTCTATATATATATATATATATATATATATATAATATATATACTACATGCTTCTCTATTTACTATATTTTTTTCTATACACTGAGAAAAAATATCTTAATTTTTATTCAAAGAAATATTTCTTTGCTCTTTGTTATTTAAAAAAATTATTTCTTTGAATCAATAAAAATTTCTTTGATTTTTTTGTACTTAAGAAATATTTTAATTTTAAAGAAATTTTTATTGATTTAAAAAACATTTTTTTTATACCAGCAAGGAAAAATATTTCTTGGAAATTGAGTTTTTTCAGTGTACACATACTATACTTCTATAGAAATCTGTGATGTCTACGTTTACAAAGCATGATGCTGTGTGATGTTGAAAAACTATAATTATGTAACCATGAATAGATACGGCTATAACATATATATCTACGGAGAATGACACATTTGAAAAGGACATATTGTAATTAATATAATAATAACTTATGTTATATTGTTTTATGTTTTATATGGATTCGGGATCACCGAGGATGTAGACGAGGAGAATAATTAATTTTTCACTTTTGATGTACTTTTCACAACTGTAGATAACTTTTATTTGGTAAAAATGTTACACTCGATTTCACCCTATATACATTTTTCAAATCTCAAGTACGCGTGTAATACCTTTAATTATTATTCGGATAACCGACGGACATAATAAAGCAAAGTTGTCAAGAATTATTAAGATCAACGTTCGCACATCCGTCATCTCGTTTTTATTCTATATTTTTTAGGTCGTTCTTGTCAAAATTTGGCAATTGCCCATCAGAAATTCGATAATCGATCAAAGACAACGATTACGCAACAATTGAGTCCGTGTTTCTTATAATAACTCATATTTTTCTCGCTCAGGATCATACATTATTATAATATTATTACAATATTTTATTTCGTTGTTTATTTCGTCAATAGTTAATAATCGTTCGAAATGGATTCAATTATCATTTGTGCAATAAGTACTTAATTAAATTCCCGCGTATGTATTACTTATTTTTGTAAATTTTTATACACATATATATAGATTTGTATGAACAAATATTATATTGCAAAATGTTTTAAAATTATGTTAATTATTATAAAAATAAAAAAATTATACATTTAATAAGAAAAGAGGATCGCTGAATAGAATATATAATTACAAAACATTTTTATTTCTATTACAGATAAATGTTCTTATAATAAATTCTTTTGAAAAATAATTCTAGATGTATAAGAAACATTTATGATGTGAATGTCACAATTAAATGATGTAAATAATACTGCATACGGTTGTTATGATCATATAGTTTAAGAATTTTATTTGTGCATTTTGAACTTTGAAATGAGGAAATGAGAGATATAATGTAAGAAATGGATTTTTCTATTGTGTTTTCACATCGAAATACATTGTTTCATCTTTCTTTTTCGTAAGCTACTTGTCCATTATCCATATGGAAAGAAAAGTTTTCGATAATTTTGCTATTCAGTGGTATCTATTTAGTTGTAAGATGAAGTCATAGCAGGAAAAGTTTATTTAATTATTTCAACAGGTGAAAGAAACAAATAGATTGTCTTCTCTGTGGTAACATAACCGCGATAAACAATCATATAATACCTTGATTAATTGCGATTCTTAGAATATTTAATGTACCTTGTATTTTAGACTTGTGACTAACACGCAATACGTAGTTTTCTATTTTGTTTTTCACAATACATGGCATTCGATCATACGATTATTATCAATGTATGACTATTTTCAGCAAAAACGTACGTAATTTTAAAATAATTTATATTAAAGTACGATTATATATTAAATGATTAAAGAGATAAAGACAACTCAGTGAGAAATGTCATTGTCAATGAGGAATCGACGTTGATTTAATGATTTCGACGTCGAATCGACATCAATTCGATGACGATTCCATTATCATTTCTCACTAGGAAAGATAGATCTTTTAACGTCTGGAACTAACTTGATTCATAAATCAGTATAAGTAGCTACTTAATCAGCACTCAATAATAAAAAAATTTTAGTATTTTTTAAATACTTATTTAATGAAAAAATATTGAGTAAACATTAAAAAAAATATTATTTAAATATTGTGTGTGCTGATGTGAGTAGCGATTTGAGCTATTAAAAAAAAATGCTGCAAATATACAGGGGTATCTTAATAATAATATATAAACTAGTTATAAACTCTTTTTGTTCAAAACAAATTAACAATCATAAATAAGAGGCAATAAAGAGTCGAACGTTGTTGACAGTGCGAAAAAAATTCTTAATTAATCTTATAATTAACTTGAAGATTACCAATCGAACGTTTCGGTCTGTAATTTAGACCATCTTCAGCGACAATAAAATAATGATACAAAATTTCATTTACTTCGAGTTAGAATACAGGGGTATCCCTGCATTTTCCATAACTTTAACAATATGTTCCACGAACTAAACTAAACAAAAATGTTATATGCATCTTTAAATGTTTTATCAAAACGTTACAACAAAAATATAAAATATGTAAAAAAAAAAACGATCTTGCAGTTTTTCAAATTACCGCATATGTCAGTACAATTGTTTGATATCAATGTAATTTTGATAATTTATCCACCTTTTTTATATAAAGGTTAAAGATCTTCCTACACGGAGCGAAGGATTTCTTAAAATTTACCCTGAAAATATAATAATTACAGTAAAATACAAAAAATATTTAAAGATTTTTACCATGCACTTTAGTAAAATTAATCATACTTATTTTATTGTAATTTTATTAATGAATGTGAGAGATTTACATAAAAATTCTTCAAAATACAATGTTGATTACCATATTTTCAGGATAAATTTTAAGAAATAATTCTTTTCATGTATGAAGATTAAATCCTGTAGCCTCGCAAAAAATTGTCTTATTTTTTCCTTTTATTCTAATTAGGAAGATATATTATCATCGGTGTGTAAGATGTTTTATGTGACGTAACAACTTTTTTGCTACGGCTAATCTCTATAAATGGAATGGACTGCTGATTGACTGTGTAGTAATTTCACTGAGAGTTAGTGCAAAAGGTAGAAGAGTTTAAACGATGGCTCGATTAAGTCTCACCGTAACGATTATCGCCATTGCACTGGTATGCGTATTCGCGGCTGAGAAAGAGTTATATTCGGATCGGTACGACGATATCAATATCGAAGACATTTTGGCAAACGAAAAATTGCGAACGCAATATTACAACTGCTTGGCGGGCATCGCACGATGCAAAACAGCAGATGCGAAATTCTTTTCTGGTATATATATTCTCACATTACACGCATATATTATATGTATATGGAATATTTTATATTTATCGTGTTATTTTTTTCTCTCTGTCGTTTTGTGATCAATTAAAACTAATGCTTTCCTTACTATATAAGGAAATAATTATAAGAGAATAGCTGAGGCATTTGTAGCTCTCGAGCGAGTAATTAGCAATTATCTTAACAAAGGATCTACGATCAATTAAGTCAGATATAAAAGTATCGTAATTGAAATAAATTCAGTTAATTTCAAATGAGCTTCGCTATATTTTAATTTTAGAAGCTTTTTCGTCGATTATTAAAGATGATTAAACTAGAAATGTGTCGTTCTAATAAATTTACCGAATATATTAATAACAGTATAGTCGAATAATCCATCGATCATTAATTTATTATTATTGTGGTAATTAAATTTTATCCTGCAATTACACATGAGGAAACTGAAAAAATGAATTTTATTTTAAGCAAAAAAAGGAACGTAAATTGGAAATTAGAGTTCATCTAGTTGGAATAAAACAAATTTAAAATTAAAATTATGTATTGGGTCTAATAGGTCTAATTTGAATTGACAATTCTCATTTCTAATACAAAAAATAGATTATTCTCGAATACATTCAAACATATTGCATATTTTTTATGAAAAATATGAAAGATTTAAATATCTGTATAGTAAAAAATATACAGAAGATAAATAATAAATAGTTAATTAATAATCAAATATGAGATATTTTACATCAAATCGCAAGCATCTCTCTTTCAACATCGTAATTTTTATCTATTTCTTTTTAATTTAACTGATATTCTACAGATAAAAAATATGAGACATGTATTTTGTGGAAAAAATTTGAGATTTTTTTTTGTGAAGTTATTCACACTTGTAAAATGTAGAAATATTCATTTAAAAAAAAAGTAGCTCATACGAACATTTAAATTATTATATCATTAGTCATACAAAAAAATGTAAAAGCTTGATTTAAAAAGTTTTTAATTTAAAGACTATCAATTAGATTGACCAATTGTTGCTTCATTCTTCGAATAAATAAAGTTTCTTAGAGAGAGAAATGTGCCGAACAAAAAACAGACTGTCATCTTATTACACCGTGTGTACTACTTCAGGATTATACTATCATGGAACAAAATCGGAATGGATTCTGATCGGAATTATTCCGTTTTCCTTAAAAAACGCAATATAAATCTAGGAAATAATTGAACAATTCCGATCGGAATCCATTCCTACTTTGTTCCATGATAGGTACTCGCAGATAGTGCAGAAACAAAAACAGACCTATAACTTGCAGTAATGCTGAGAAATAATGCGACGTTTTTATATAACAATTTTCAAATATACCTTTTTTCTCATGTTTTTGTGGATTTGTTTTTAATGGACGAGTTTTTTAATTATGTTAATACGGATAGGTGTAAAACTTAATTTCTCGTTGTGGTTTCAGATGTCATAGGTGAAGCTTTGCAAACTCAATGTAGGAAGTGCACCGAAAAACAAAAGAATCTTTTAGACACCTTAGTTGATTGGTATACAAAGAATAAGCCCGAAGATTGGGAAACATTCATTAGGAGAACGATAGAGAGAGCCCAAAAGAAAAATGCTTAAAAAGCGAAGACTTTGACTTGCTGATAACAAAATCGACAAAAGCTCCAATGAAAATGATGGCTCATGAAATGATAATTTATCTGATGTAATAATGAAATTATTACATCTGAAAACTAATTCAGTGTACAGAGAAGAAACTAATATATATGTAGATAATATTATGTATAGTGTTATGTTGATAGAATAAAAATAGAAATTAAATTCGATTTTGTTCTCTTTATTATATAACGTGTCATCAATTTAGCGCTATTATTAATTATATCTATAGTATTTTTATATTTTATATTTTATATGTGTATATTAAAAGAAATGGAAAAGAAATTATATATATATATATATATATATATATATATATATATATATATAGTTAATGTTTACATAGCATACTACGAGCAATTTATATATTATTATAGTTTAATTTATAATTGAGGTATTTATTTACAAAATGGTAATATATTGTAAATTATCTGCTCGATTTCAATATTGAGAATAAAAATTCTGAAAATTTTTAAATGCGCAAAATATACATACAAAAACAAATACAAAAAAATTAATTGTTACAGGCATCCTTATTTATTGAATTAATTTTTATATATTTGACTATTTAAAGAAAAATTTGTTTTCCATCACTAATTGAATTTTATAGAGATATATATTTTATTATGATAAATTTATAAATATATCTATGTAGATTTTATTTTCGAAATACTATTAAAAATATTATTTGAATTACTTAGCCTCAGTAATTTCACATCGTAGATCTCTGGGCAATAATGGAATAATATTGATATTATCAACTGTCGATATACATTTTTTATTAATAAAATTTATGTAGTTCACCGAGAGATGGCTAAAAAAAACTCACTATTTGTATGTTGCTTGAAATCTCCAAAATTTCTGCACTTATAAGATAATTGAAGAAGAAAATTCGCACACAAGGAGAAATTATTTATTTTTTTTTGCTTCGAAATTCGAATCACTCAGCGATTTGTGATAACTATAAACTAAAAAGATATATCTTTTTAACCTAAAAATGATACAAACTTCTAAGAACATTGCCCGTCTTTTACTTTCCAGTAAGTGTTTTCAATGTGATACCTTTTTAGAAAACCAGATATATTTAAAAACATCTCTTCAGATTTTTACGTTACTTTTCACATTGTGATATTTTTATAGCATGGCAATCCGTATCCATAACACCAGTGGCTGGTTTAAAAATCTTTCCTTCACCAATAAAATTTGGTGGTAAGCATACAAGATAGTTATAGATAAATATTATTATCAATATTAAAGATGCTAATTTGACATTATATCTATTATATGATTATTAGATATTGAATTTCCTGAGCGACCAAAACTTAAAATAATGGAAAAAGTTCCACAATTTCCATCAGGAATGCGTCCCCCTAAAATGCAAAAGCGTTTAAGATATATGCGGGGTCCAGAAACTGTGCACAATTTCCTTATGTACAGACAATTTGGCATCATTGTACGTCTTCATTTTTAATACATTTAAGCCAGTATTATAGTTGATTCTTATATTTAAAATTATCTTAAATACAGGTTAAAATATAAACCAATCAAAGTTAACATCTTAAAATATTACTTAACATGCTTAAAATGAACACAAACTACAAATATTATTTCTAGGACAGTATTCATAGATAATTTTTATTTACAGCTCTTAGTAATAAAGAAAATCTTAGAGATGTATTATCATTTTCTTGAATTGTAGGCTACAGGAGGAGGTAGATTAAAACATAGTCACTTCGAGATGATACGTTTAACAATTGGTAGAAAACTCGATCAACAAAGGATGTTTGCAATTTGGCGTATAGATCCACCGTGGCAACCAGTTACAAAAAAGGTTTAATATTTATGATATAACAGATCATACAATATGGGATACTAAAGAAATACTTTCTTACTATAATAATTATGCTTGTTATTTAGGGACAAGGACAACGTATGGGTGGAGGTAAAGGTGCTATTGACCATTATGTCACTCCTATTAAAGCAGGACGAGTCATTATAGAGATTGGTGGCCATTGTGAATATTTTGAGGTATTTTGATGATATACTGATTTTTAACATTTTTTAAAGTAACTTATCAAATGGCACATATATGAGACTAAAAGGTATCTCAAAGATGTCTTTAGAAAATTCTTGGAATTTTAGATAGTGTAACCTTGTTTTTCTATATTTTGTTTCAAAATTTTTTGACCATAATATTGATTTCATGAATTTTTTATTTCAATAAGTCTTCAAATTCCCGAACTCACAATTCTTGGGATTTTTAAAATTCTTAAAATCTTAAGTAGTGCTATCTTCTTGATTTCTTCATATTTTATCAAGTTTCGTGAATTTAGATTTTTGTGTTAAAAATTTACTTATTTTTGCATCATGCATAGAAATATAAATTAAGTGGGACATGAGATACATATTAGAAATTGACTTCTAAGTAGAAAATGTAAATAAATGAAAATATACTGATACATAAAATTTTTTTTAGGTAAAGAAAGTATTGAATCAAGTAGCAAATCAACTACCGTTCAAAGCTGAAGCAGTCAGTCAAGAAATTCTAGATAGAAAGGCAGCTAAAAGTAAATGGTTAGAAGAAAACAATTTACATTTGTGGACTTGGAAATATATGGTTCAGAATAACATGCTTGGTTGCCAAAAATGGATATCACCAGTTGATAAAATATGGTTTAATAAATATTTGTAAATAATGAAAATATATGTTTAAAGAAAATATGTTTGTATTTTTTCTTTCTGAAATTATAAATTACTTCAGTATAATTAACATTATCCAAATATAAAAAAAAAGAATAATCTAGAATAGTGATTGTCCAGTTTTCATGAAGAAGAAGGTTTGAGCATGTAAATCCAGACCTTACATAATCAGGACAAGTATCTCTTCATTCTGATTGGTTGGAAATCGCAAATCTTGACGCATAGTCCAACACGGGCTTAATGTTTGTGTAGCTTCCATTTCACAAGTTACATCTCACACATTCCTTTCGATTATTTCTTATTTTTATGGAATATATGTATATATGCGAACATATCTCTTAAATTTTTGAGGTTAAAACTATAAAAGTATGTATAACACATGTTAACACATTAATATTTGATAATGACACAAAAACTCCAGTGAAACTGATACGAAATTTTTTATCATATAAGTATATTATAATATGAAATTTATAGATGTGCACATTATCTTCTCAAAATAACTTATTTATATTTAATTAAAAAGTCAAGTTGTTTTTTGATAAGCATTTTGTTATAATTTGTTAAAAATGATAAATAACTAGAAAAAATGATACAAATCTTTTTTTACAGATGACAAAATTACTGGAGTGGCTATCTTGTACAACAGTAATCTTTGGCGTGTGGTATGCTACAATTACAAGCAACTCTACTCTTGCCAAGGAATGGCGTGAAATTATACTTTTTCTTCCAATTATCTCCTTATTTCTCTTTGGATTATATGCAATTACTGTCGTCTTGTTCAGGGTATTCACTTTTAATACCTGTGAAAGTGCAGCTATCGAACTTCAGCAAGTTAGTTATTTTTTTTAAGACATACTTGTGTATATATATATATATATATATATAATATTGTTATCTAATGCCTTGTTGCTTTTTCTTTTAGCAAATAGAAGAAGCTAAAAGAGATCTTCAGAGCAAAGGCGTAATATTACAAGGGACTGATGTTTCAACTTCATAAAACTTTTATAAATAGTATAATGTAAAATATAAAAAAAAACAATGACTTTTCTAATTTGTATATATATAATTTTGTAAATATATAAATTTCTTAAAGTTTGATATGATCTTATGGGCTGCATTCAGCAAAAAAAGCAGCTTTACAACTGTTGTAAAATTCTTTAATATGGTTGATTTTTTCTTTAGTTCCTTACTGGATCTAAATGTATGAACCAATCATATTCAAAAATTTTACAACAGTTGCAAAGCTGTTTTCTCTGCTAAATGCAGCCATGTATATTTGTAAAATTCATCTAGACCATGCAATATGTTGCAAACAAAATTTTGCTTATAAATTGAATTTGAATTTTTTAACAAGTAATTTATAATATTTGTGGTTATTTATACTATTTTTTATATTGGTGTATAAAGACTAGGTAAAGTTTTTTAATTATAAATAGACATCTTGACTAATAAAGTACCTTTAACATTATTAAGTTTTTAAGAGAATATAGATACATATATTTTTAAGTGTCATAATTATGTTTTTACATCTAAATGTCTATGTATAGCAGTCTTTATAGCATTGGAGAACAAAATGCATGTGTTCAAATCTATAAAATTATTAGTAGTAATATAACGGGCTAACTTTGTGGAAATCGTAATTTATTCATTTATACTATGTATTACAAGTGTGTTGAGCACACAACAGAGAATGTGTTCTGTTATAACAGCAGTTCTTTTCTATTAATTTCTCTATTTTTATAAAAAAGAAGGGATAAAACTTGTCAGCATAACAGATTGGAATTTTATGCATTGTTACTATAACTCTCCAACGAATAATTCTTTATATTATTTTTGCACTAAATATATGTAAGAGCGATGAAAATTTTTCAATATTTATTATTGTTTCAATGATATTAATAAGTAACTGTATATGGTACAAATTTAAGAATTAAGAACTTCCTACTTATGTAACATGCATAAATGCGTACATATGTATGTATGTTATTATGTAATATATGAATTAAATTATTCTTTGTGTTTCAAAAAGATTAATATTGTTTTGTGCTGTGAAAAGAAAGATATAAACAAACACATGTCATATTTGAAATAGTATACTTTTATATAATCTAATCGTAATAAAATTTCGATATGATATATGTAACAATGTATTTAAGGGTTTTTTTTATTGAAGATTATTTAATAAATACATGATAGCTAAACTGTCTTCTTGAATTATGAATGATTAAATAAGCAAAAATATCACATTACTAGTAAAAATGTAACGTTATATTTAAATCATAAACATTAAGTTCCAAATAGATTAAGAGATTATATATATGGGAAATTACTTATTTTATGACAAACTATAATTTACTGAATTGTGACATGCGTGTATCATAGGAAAGCTTTTTAACATTTAAATTAGTTCATCAATTATCATTTAAAAATAGAAAATCTCTTTGTGTATACATACATTAATACGAAGATATGCAAGTACACATACCCAAACAGATGAATTCTATAATTTTTATATCAGAAAGCCGAGAAATATACAAAATGCACTTATTATACCTACATGCAAACATTTAGATATGTATAAAACATACCTTAACGCGAGAGTGAACACATCTTCAATTTATATATGCCCAACCCTCAATATATAACTACTGCAAGGTATTCTTCTGCAGAGTAAGGCTTGTAAGGCTTTCTCATATAAAAATGCAATTATATTGCTCCATATATATCAAAGAAATATAAGATTTTAGAGCACTTGTAGGCTGTAAGGATGGATTTTATAACATCATCTGCTATAAGCAACAATTCTTTCTCTCATAACCATGTGTTAGATATTGAATGAAATGTTTTTAAAAATATGAAACAATGCTTAAAAGAGTTGACATATATGACAATATTATGGTACGCGCCTATCTTTAAATTCAATCGCTTACCAAACACACCAGGATTTTATCTACACAACAAATAAAATAGCATAGATATTGTATATATCTATATACAAAATAAAGATGATTATTGTAAGGTAAAAATGATAATGGTGCGATCATCCACCCTCTGTCAGTCCCGTTGTTTATTCGAAACACCGCGCAAGATCAAAATGAGCGATTCAGTCGTCAAGGTTTTGCGAAAGTAGGAAGTTAGCAGCGAGATTTTCGTTCTTTTCACAGGCGAAATATGCTTGTACGACTAAATGTTCTGGAAAACCTAATGCCTTCAACCTCTCAATAGCTTCTTTGTCTTGTGGTGTTATCTGTATTAAACCAGACCCTAAACCCGTTGCTGCACCCGCGCCAGGTCCACCATTCACAGCGCCTCCTGCAGTAGCAGCAGCCGCTGGTCCTACGCCTCCTCCAGATGGTAAAACTCGCGCCCCTGTTCCTGAGGTAGGTTCCACTATATGAAAAAAAAGGCAAGACAAATTGTATATAATTATTAATATTGTATAATTATTAACTATTATTTTCAGTCGCAATATCAGTGGTGTTTTGATTTAAGCATACACTAGACTAACCAGGTTCGTTGAGCATGCGTACAAATGCTTCCTGATTTTGAGAAATAAGCTGTAAAAGGGCAGGATTAGTGGAACCAATTTGTTGAAGAAGATTGTTCAGCAGCTGTGGATTTTGCTGAATGACCTGACGCATTTGTTGAAATTGTGGCTGCAAACGTAAAAAGGCCAAAGGATCTTGACTCTGATCCTGAAGCTGTGATTCTTGAGCTTCTGGTGGATCTTCAGGTGGGTCTTCGAAGAGTTGCGCTGGTATACCTGTTATGAGATACTCGACAGCTCTATCAGGGTTGTTAAAACTTGCGCGCAATGCCTGTACAACCTGCTCACGTTCATACCTAATTCAAATGATAAGATTATCATATGAATACTAATAATTGCAGTTCAGTATGTCATTTTTCTCTATACATACCCCATGTCCATAATGTTGTTTACCATGGTATTATAATCCTCTCCCATTAGCAAGGCACTTTCTGCTTGACCAGCCGCTGGAGTAGCTGCTACGGGTTGCTCTTGCACATTACTAGCTGCTCGTGTAGTATCCTGAACATTAGGGTTTGAACTAGGTTGTGTAGTTGCTGAGCTACAACAGAAAGATATAAAAGAAAATGAAATAAACTAATGTCTACTCTATATATAATCTGAAAAAATTGTTCTCTCGATAATATTTAGTAAATAATTGTATTTGTTATAATTAATGTTTGATAAAATAAACATTTTACAACAAACGGTGCATTAATTGCGCTTACGCGCAATATATCACAATCCTCAAGTTACCTAGTAGATTCCTCCTTTTTATCACCCTCTGCGCGTTGTTCTTCGCTTGTTTTAGGTGTAGCACCAGTTTTAGGCTTTGTTACCATAACAACTATAAATTTCTTCTCATCGATATTATATTCTGCTAAAGGCTGCTCATCCGCTAATATTTTCCCTGCAAGTGTTTGCACATTGTTACAATCACGGAAGTAAAAAAAAAAAAAATTCGTCATAAACCCCCAATGTGTACGAGACGGAAACATAACCTATGAGCGTTTCTGCAAGATCATTCCTATCCTGAAGTAGCTATATTTAAACATACATGGGCCATGCAATATTTAGTATATTTATTCTAACGTGGATTTTCTCCCAGCTGTGTTGACGAGCACGCCGGGCAGTTGGATAATATGTTCCCGACATATTAGGTTATTTGATGCTGTAAATCCTTACCAGCATATATCAACTTCTGATGTTCGGCGGGGAAACCTTTCTGCGTTTCGATCTTCTCCTTGAGATCTTTGACCTGACAACACGCAAACATCTGAATCATTAACCGTTCAGAGAAGTCGGCTCCGTCGCGATAGATCTTGCCCAATTTTACTTACAGTTTGCGACGAGTCGATCTCTATCGTGAACGTTTGCTGCTGTAAGTTTTTCAGCGTTATAATCATATTGCTGGGGTGGTGAGCTCGCGCAATGTACGTCAAGCAATCGCAAAATTAACCCCGCGTAATCCTCCACGATAAGAATAAAACGGTGTTTTGGGGTAGAGATTTTTTTTCGGCGATGAGTCTGCACTGCCTTAAACAGCTCGCAGGTGTATGAATGTTAACAGTGTGCGACAGTGTGCGGAAAACATATGATAATGGAAGATCTAGTAACGACTACACTACCAACCGCTGGTCTGTTTAGAGAACAATATTATGCTGCATTCACACGGCACACATCTGATCCGTCGATGCGTTAGCCAATAAGAGAATTCGAAGAAAATTATATCTTATAAAATAATAATAATATCAATAATTTTTATAATTTTAGATTATAATTCTTTTTATTTAATATTTTTTTGTTGTACTGAAGAAGGCCGGAACAATGGCCGAAATGTTTACGTAAATTTAATTTTGTTATACATAACACTATAATAAATTAATATTTGCGCATTTATAATCTGCGTTTGCTTATCAAGGCTATTATTTCTTACTTGAAATTTTGAAATATTCAATATTATTTATAATAATAATATTTTCGGGGAGTCTACTTTGGACGTTCTTGTATGGTTCATCTTTCATCTTGTTTTATTTTCAATGTGAAAAAAAGAAAGTTGAATCTTAAGAAAAGTTCAATATCTTGAGATAAAGAAAAAGAATAGTTCTATATTCTTCTATAATGGATATCCTATTGGATGTGTCCAACATATAATACATATATAGTATGAAAATCTATACTCACCTTGTAATATATAAGTAACGTAAACTATAGATTTTCGAAGTCTCGAACAGCGGTCACAGCCTGCGTTTACCAAGTTCTATGGTTTACGCTTATCGTACGTTTGGTGCTCCATCTTTGAGCTGCCTCGCTCGCCTGTAATATTACAAATATGTGACATATTCACAGCGCGGTGCATGTAAATCGTTGCAAAATGGAAAGAATGCTCGAAGAGCGTTTAAGGGAAAGAGTCTGCCTCGACGACACCGAAGCCGTCCAAGATCTCTTGACTCTAGGTGTTGAAGTCAACGCGAGAGAGCCTGTCAGCGGATGGTACTTGTCATTTTAGCTATACTTTCACAGCTTCACGGACAGAACTCATAAAAATACATTTACATATTTCTGATTTTTTTTTAAACCTGCATAAAATTCATTCCAGCTTGTACTCATTAAACAAACTTACATCCTGTTGCTTGAGATATAATACACTCTAATGCCAATGCAAAAATTAGATTTACTTATTGAGATATTTTATAATACCATATTATTCGTTTTTCGTTCATTCCTATTTCTCAAGGACTGCACTACATTGGGCATGCAAACAGGGATACTTAGACATAGTTGTCTTACTCTTGAAAAATGGTGCCGATAAAAATATACGATCCGAGATAGGCGAAACCCCAGCATCTGTCTGCAGCAATCAGCAAATTTTATATCTTCTGGATACAAGTGATGATCTCGAGCGAATCATGTATGACACATCATTACGCGCAGCTCCATCCGCATATGCTCCATCAGATTTTTTGCGCGCTCCCGCAAATTCTTCAAAAGCCAGAAATAATATATATGACAAAAACAGACTTACTTCATCATTTCAAGATGGTTCGATATAAATTAATGTTTTTTTTTTTAGTTACTTGACATTCTGAATTCATCAGCCAAAAAAACAAATCATGATCTTTTTAATAACATTTTTCATTATTGATCATCATTATTGAAAAAAATATAATTATTTTATTCAATCAAAATTGAAACAAAATTGTTTTTAAAAAAATAGTAAATTTATTATATCATATATTATAGCA